ATGAAAAATAACACAATGAAAAGATAAGTTAAAGATTTGATTAAAAAAAGAAAGAAGCAACTTAAAATCTCAAAGCTATTTTAAAAGTTCAAACTCAAGGGTCATCCTTAAAACCCAGTAACTAGAGAGAGCCATGCCAGAACAGTAACAGGCTATACCAGTTGTCTGTCCAGTGATAGACTGGTGTTAATACTAAAACATCATTTAGGTAGAGAGAGTCTGAAAACGCTTATGCCTTTTAGCTTCAGAAGCCCTCCTAAATGGAACTAATATTCCTAAACTATTTTAAAATCTTTGCTTTATTGGAGTCTGACAGTTTTCAGCAAAAATGGGTGAATATCTGTCATCACTGGCTCGCTGCTTCACTAAAAGGCAGGAGGTGAGGAACGAAGCCAGAAGAGCCAGTGGCTTGCTTTGGTCAGAAGGATATGGATGGAGCTGGGAATGCACTTCCATTTACTGAGATTGCCTAATAAAAACATGGCATATGTTGCATTTCCCAGTGTTAGCAGGATTCAGTTTTGGTATTTAACTTTTTTCAGATTGTCTTCAGATAGTGTGACTATTAAGTTTTATATATTCATGATTCTTTTTAATGAAGTTTATATTAGATTGGTTTTTGTTGCTGGTTTGTATGTAAATAGTTTTTGGAGAGCTGTTTATCTAGGCATGTCTTGTTATTAAGTCTCTTTATTAACATGTGTCACGCAGTTCTGATGTGCAGATTTAATGTGCAGTGGTTATAAGCATGCTATGATGTGGCATTGTCATGAGCAAATGTCTATAAATAAAATCTCAAATTGATATTTTAAATTAATTTTTGAATTAATGCATTCTAAGTGAGCAGAAGCCATCAACTGACTTAAGGTGAAAAATCTCTCTTGAAATCACTCCTTGAAATTCAACACTTGCACTATATCTTTTTGTGGTCTAGAAAAAGCATTGAAAAGCAGATCAGTAGATGTGGAGGGAGGGGTAGGAGTAGAAGGGAATGACTGTCTGTTGCCACTATGATCCAGATGAAAATAATTTTTTTAATCAGATGAAGTAAATTCAGAAGCTTAAGTAAAGAATCCTTGACTCAAGGTTGTGCTCTATTCATGGATATATCTGGTCTTTATTTTCAACATGTAGATAAATGAGTGACTAATATTTTTAAAGATCTAAGTTGTTCATCACTTTGTAAAAGCATTGAAATTTGTTCTAAATGTCCTCTTGCAGGACAAAAATGAGTTGCTCTACCAAGGGAGTTCTTGTACAAAATATTTTTAAAGCAGTTGGAAGCAAAACTAGCATTCCTAGGTTTTCTACTGTGTGGGAATATCTTCTGTAACTTGCTTTACTGACATGTTAGTGAAATTTGGGGAACACAAGTGCAAATAGCTACTTTAGATGTGATGCACAAAACAGTTTTAAGGAAGAATCTGGAGTAGTGGAGAAGAGTTGAATATTTTAATCATGGGAAAACCTAAGAAAATATTACCTCCTTATTCATTAATTGATGAAGAAAAGAATTGTTAATCTGTGAATATTTCAAACTGTATGTAAAAGTTAGCACATGAAAGGGAAGTGCTACTGTGGAAAATTTTGTAAAAAATTTCATTATTCTAGCAAAATTTGAAGTATGAGTGTTAGTACAATGAGTTACTACAGGATTATTTTGTTCTCATTAATGACACAGAAAATACAATTGAAGTTATTAATTCAATCTTAAATTCTTTAATGGAGATTTGAGTTTCTGTAGAACACACTTAAATAACTGATTTAGGAAAAAGATGTTCATATTAAAAAAAAAAAAAATACCATTTTTTACAAAATGTCTATGAAAAATGAATTGTTAGATGATCACAATTTATCAGAAAAATCAAGCATCAGCTTTTCTACACAAGCTTCATTTTTGGGACAGATATTTTTCTTTTATTTCTGTACTTTGCTAAGAGGAAGAGGTAACATTTTGTCATAAGTCTTATACACACAATAGCAGCTGGACATTCATAAAGATTTAAGTTTTTTTCTTATCGAAGCCCAATATGAAATTCTGTCTATTTTTGAGCTACAGTCTACAAAAAATACATAGCCTTATTTTTATGGCCCTGTGGGGTTAATGACAGTAATGACTAACAGAATAGTCACTGTAGTCACTGCCTGATGTTGATAATAAGCAAAGAGTGTCCGGAGTAATTAATGTTTGCAGGACAAGACTCTTGCATTATAAGATTTGGATTTGCAGTGCATATTGAATTTTCAGTACATATTCCATAAGAATAGGTCAGGAAAGAATATTTGATTTCTTTTTTCCAGCAAATAATTTGATCTTTTTTTTTCAGCAAATCCTTGTTGTTCTCAGGAGGCTCCTAGAGTCAAGAAAAACAAAGCTATACTAGGAGATAAATAATTAAATTTTATATTTGCATAACTTGTAATCTCTACCAGTAAAAGGTCTCCAAGAAAACTGAAGGACAGTTATGATCCCCACACTTTGTCTTTTTACCTTCTAGTTCATCATGTACAAGATGCTTGTGTAACTGTGTAGATTTATTGACCAACACAACCAAACATTCATTATTTCTGTATTAATAGTACTATGATCAAAACATTCCAACTATTTTCCTAGTTCAGTTTTCCTAGGCTTCCAAGCATAAGGTGTAAGGTGTGGGGGCATTTCTCCACCTTAAACATTTATCTTCTAGACAAAGTTCAGATGTCTATATGACGATGTAGCAAATATGGCAGCTTTGTGGATTTTTAGAGGTTGATGCCACTCTGTCTCCAAGTTTTTCTAAATAGTTAAAGGCAATGTTATCTGTGGACATGGGAGATACAACTTCTCCACTGAGACTGGCACAGTCTTAAAGAGGTGATTATAGCTTGTACAAATGGGGCCATATAAAATAATGCCAAGAGGATAATTGTGTGGTCCATTTTAGTTCTTTTTTGGGATGTATCCTCAGAGGATTCCAATATTCCTCAAAGCGAAATAAATTTCTTTGGATGTCTGCACCATCCAATATTTCATGATCAGTGACTGATGAAAGTTCATCAGGAGTTTTCTTTTAATTCCTCTCGTGAGTTTAGCAAGCATGGAGAACCACAACAACTTTCAGAAGTGTGTCTGCAATGACAGCTGTGTGTAAATTCATTAACTTTTTTTATCTTTTTCTGGCAACATCACTGTTTTGTTTTTTGGTTGTTTTTTTCCATTCAGTTAGTGATACAGTGAATAATGTCCTTTGAAAAAATTTTCCTGACTTAAACTCTTGAAGATTGCTCCATCACCTACATAATCAAGATCTTCTTAGTCCACTTGCTCAAAGCAACTTGAGTTGCCATCTTGCACATCCAAAGTGTCATTATTGGGTACTTCTGATATATTTTGGAATGAGTTATTTTCAAATGTTGGTAATAATGAACTGCAAAATAGTTTCTGACTTAGTTTATCAGAAACAGCAAGGACAATCCTGGCTCCAGAAAAATGTAAAATGGGTAGGAACTGAGGTCTGCTGTCTCTCCAACTATTCCAACAGTCATTCAGCAGGGCTTTCACTCTTCATGATGTTGAAAGGAAAGATGGAGAACAGGTGCAAAGAAAGATATTCTATCCTAGGTTTGGATGCTTTGATTTCCAGTGACTGAACTATGGTTCCTCAGCTGCTGAAAATACTTGAGGCATGGCAAGAAAATCTGGAGTTCCAAAAGGCAAGTTAGCATACTGTAAGGCAGATGTAAATACTTCTTGTAGGTGGGTTCGGGTTCTTTCCAGTAAGGAAGATCTACCCTAAGTCACCAAATCCTATTTGGCTTTTCCACTGAGTCTCCAATCCTTTGACCAGTTAAGGTGACTCGCTCAGATTTCTGCTTTCCCTTCTACATGCTTTCTTTCTTTTGTTTTTTCACATCACTTCCACCTTTAACATATCATTCAATTAAATACTTGTTTGTTTTCTTGCTTTTTGTTTACACTACTGGTATAAATAAGTACATTGTGAGAGAAATAATACTTATTTTTAATTGTTTTATGCTTGGCAAATTTTATGTGTGCCACTCTTTTTATTAGCGAGGAATTACATTGTGGTAATGAAAAAATAAGAGCAATTGGATGGGACAAATAAATCATTTTGACCTTTATATGCCTTCCATGAATTAGATATATATGGAATTTCACAGAATGAAAAGAGGAATGAAAAATTATCAGGAAAAGTAGTTATGGTATATAAAATAATATTTTTCCTTTCCTAAATTATTTTTTTCTGGAGTTAGTCAAGAAGGCTTGGAAGGGTTGAGTAATTGCTTCATTTGTTAAAAGCCATTTTAAATAATTCCAGCTTTGAGAAAAGTCTTGTCAATCTTTTCTTTTTTGTTCTTTCCCTCTGCTTCCATTACCCACTTCAAGGCTTTTAGCTTCCTTGCTCAGCAAAGTGCCACGAAGCCAAGGGAGCAAAGCAGGGAATTTTAGTTTTTCTTCTAGGTTAGTGTCAATGGCTGCTCTGGGAACCAGATGTTTCTGATTCTCTGTAATGGTGATGTTCCAAATGGCTTATGTGTCACCTTGTCATCGAGTTAATGTCAGAGAGGCATGCTTTGAAACAGGAACCAAGGCTGATGGCACTGGTTTGCAGTGACAGGCAAATAAGCCGAATAATAATGTCCTAGTTTCTGCTTTCTTTTCTGCTTTTCCATTTCATGATTTTTAGTCAAAATACTTGTGTATTTTACCTTTGAAAGGGTAGGATACTGCTGTGCAAAATACCACCTGTTAGCAATTTATATCTTAGTCACTCATGGTGGAAATATTGTTATATATCAAAAGAAATAAAAGATTATGAAAGAACTTAAATACGGTATTACTTTGGGTTTCTCCAAATGATATTTTTTTTTTTCAGGTTATTTTTTAAATGTCTGTGATTTTAAAAGCTTGAAAGTAATATTGTTATATAGCTTTCTGTTACTTTGGATTATATATACTACAATGAATATATTTTTATTTTTATATTTCCTCATAGATATTTCATTGATCATAACACAGAAGAAGACAGGTATTTCACCATTGATGCTAGCACTGGAACCATTAAGACTGCCAGGATCTTTGACAGAGAGGAGACACCTTGGTACAACATCACAGTGGCTGCTTCTGAGATAGGTAAATAATTTATTTGGCACATGGTATGAAAAATAAAAATTAGAAAGAAAATAATCACTCTCATATTTTGAGAAAGATTACATTAATATGTTATGTTCTTTTGAACACCAGTGGGTTTTTAGCTAGTCCAGATAAAGAAGAGTTTTCTGTGTGTTTGTTAATACTCTAACTCCACAGAACAATGAAACAAAATCACATGCCTATGTGAGTCCACCTGTGTAAATTTGCCAGATTTCTCTGCATGGGACAGAAGGCTGCCAACTTACCCAGCAATATTTCTAAGCATTCAATCTCCTAAAATAAACAGCTTGTGCAATTGGTGTTTCACAATTCATATGTCTTAGAAGTTAACAATATTTAGTACTGTCTGAGAAATTCATCTTTCCTTCTTGTATCTACTATCGACTATTTTAGCAAATTGCATGCCAGTTGTATGCCCATGTTAAGTTATATTTCACAAATGACTAGTAGTTTCTGATTATGTTTCTGGCCTTTTAATAGGCAAATTACCAAGATATAATAAATACTTACCTGTGCATTTGAAAGTCCTCTAACTTTGGTGAATCTCCATTGCCTCAGATAAGCCCTGCAATGATCAAAAGCCATTTGGCTGAGGAGATGAGACAAATATTTCTTCTTGAAGCAAGGAGAGTTTAAAGAACTTTTCAGTTTACCTTTTTTATTGCAGGGTCTTCATTTTTCCATGTTCAAAGTTTTAAATTTAGAAAACTCAACAGGGCAAATGAAGAAAAAAAAGTCCCATTCTGGACTGATAGATTCAATCCTCCTAAGCACTGTTCATGATACCATCTTTCAGTGGCAGTGATTTTGATCAAAACTGTGAAATACTTTTATGTATATTCATTTTCTTTTTTTTTTTGTTTGTTTTATTAATGATAAAACACAGGTTTTACCTCTAATAGGTTCCACTGACATTATTTAGCCTGATCTGCTTTTATCTGTTTCAACTCTTGGTTAAAATTTAATCTGTTCTGCCACTACAGCACTAGCACATGCTACAAAATAAAAGCATGAATTTATTTCATAAAGACGACAAAATGTTTCCTATTATTATACCTACATTCACGAATAAATTGACATTTTGAGCTAAGTACTTCCCTACAGTAAATAATAGGATCTAGAATTTTATGATTAGCTCCTTGAAAAAGCAAACACTAACACTCCTGTGTGCTTGACAGTGTTGACATATGTATAATGTCATTTCAGTTCAGCATAAAACTGAATTCAGCATGAAATAAAATATAATTAAAGCTTAATCATAACCAGGAGCATACTGTTAATTAAAAAAAAAAAAAAAAAAACAACCAAAATTTAAAAGCTACACAGGGACACTGAAAAAAAAGAGTATTCATGAGTCCTTTTTTGGAAACCATTGAAATATAATTTTCCAGAAAAAAATCTCAATAGCATAAAACTTAAACATAGCTTTCTCCACATTATTTGTTTCACATAATCAAAAGAGTGCTGGTACATGTATCATGCTGAGAATAGTATGAAGAAGGAGGATTATGTTTAAAACTAAAACAGAATGGAATAAATTATAGGAATTATACTTTTTTTTTTCTTTTTCTTTTTCTTTGTCATTTTTTTTTTTTTTTTTTTTTTGTTAGGTGCTCTGCTTAGAAGTCTCTGTTTCAGGTGCAAATTTTTACAGGAAAACACAAATCTGATTTTTTGTCCCTTGCTCTGCCTTTGTTACAGTTAAAGTTGGGGTTGAAAAAATAAGTAAATCTATAGAGTCAGTTGGAAAAACAATTCACTTATGAAAAAAGGAAGATATAGTAGTGAGGAAGAGATGGATAACAGACAGACTGACAGGCAGCCTAAATGACAGACAGCATTTCCTTCTGTCTACTTCCTCAAACATTTTGGTTTTTGCCGTATTTGGAAATTACAACACTGTTCTCTTCCAAATCCATTGTGAACTTAATAATGAATTTATGGTGGAGCAAGGAGCATATGTTGTGTATGGCCAAAGCTCTTCCCTTAAGTGCTACCTATTCCATATCTGGTCTTATGGTCTTTGCTTTTAAGCTCAAGCACAAGGTACTGCAAAACTAAGACTAAAGCTGAAATATCAGTCAAAGGCTATGACAAAAGTGTTATTTAGCGGTGGGGCTGGTATTCCTCAAATTTATCTGACACAGCAGAAGGCATTTGCAGCTTCTGGCATCATTTGCTTGGCCAAGAACACAGCAGAACCTCCAAGGCCCATAAAGAGTGTATCCCTTCAACAACAAGAGGTGCTCTGTGGGTATAAAGTGTTGATTGTAGTTATTTTCTTGAAGTGTTTTCCTCTCTTCACTTTGTGCTACATATCACTGATAGAATTCAGTTTCCACCTATCATCCTTTTGGCCACTATTTGTAACCGGGCTTATTTTACATAAATGAAATTTAGAATCAAGATTATATTTCTACCCCCAATTGTGTGATATCTTCATGCTTCAACCTCATTCTTTCTCAACCTTTCATAAGATATTTACTTTCACTTTTCCTCTCTGTATGTGATGTATACTGTCTGCATTGGTCAAGTGTCCTCTGAAATCTGAGGAAGTCCTACCACTTTGCTCTGCAGGAGTAATGCTGATGTAATAATCCACAGGCTTTTTTCTGTTTGCGCTGTTATTTCTTAAATCACATCATTATTATAAAAATTAATGGGCAATCCTTTTCTTTCTTTAACATGCATTGTTCTTAAACAGCAGCATTTTTGTGTTCAGAAGCATTTGCTTTGATTATCTCAATAGGAGTGCTTCCTGAAATCTCTTTGTAGTATTAGGAAATAAGATGATAAAGTAGTACTATAGTTTATGTTGAAGGATCTAAAGACTAAATCTAAGATGGGGGAAGGAGAAGTCATACTAAGAGTAGTACTAATACTTTAAAATACAGATTCATATAGGGTGATTACCATTTAATTGACTTAGAATTCTTTGAAAAAAAATTAGAAAAGTCTATTTGAAAGAGGGAGAAGATATAATTTGATTGATTCTAATAAAGGTTTTTAAACAAGTCTTTGACAAGAGTGATGAGAATAGAAAAGTACAGAGCAAATGCACAATGTTTTATAACACAAGAAAGACTGATTTAGAGGAAAGAAATACAGTCATAGCATAATAATACCAAGAATACAGTCTGTCCCTTGGAAGTAGAAAAACTTAAGGCTGAGCTATTTCGAGGACTAACAGAATCTGTCAATTAGAATTCATTATAATGATAGCACTCAATGATACAAAGTGATTCAAATTCCAAAATTACCTCCCTAGCTGGTAAGAATTAAGGAAGATTGAGAGAAATTCATGTAAGAACAAGACACATAGAAGAATGAGCTAGATAACTGAAGGATGAAGTGGATGGAAAACTGTCTGAAATGGCGGGTTCAAAGGGCTTCAACCAGCAGCCCAGTTAGCAGGTGGGGTCCAATCACTAGGAATTATTCCTGGTGGCTTATGCAGGATATAACAGCCTCCTCATTAATGACGTGATATGTGGAATAGAGTGCTTTCTCAACCACTCTCACTCTTTGCAAATGAAACAAAGCTGGAATAAAGGCTCGTACATCAGACTGTTGTGTTGACAACCAGAAAGATCTCAATAGGTTAGAGAAATGGCTGAACAGGAAATGAAGAGAGATTGATGAGAGGGAAATTAAATCTTGAAGAGAGATTTAATAATAGGAAATGCAAAGTTGAACACTTAGAGAGGAATAATCCTATGCACCAGTTCACATGCACAGCCAACTGGCAGATGAGCAGCTTTTGAAAGAAGGTTATGGTGGAGATCCTGGTGGATGAAAGCTCGGTGTGAGCCAGTGATGAGATCTTGTGGCAATGGAGGCCAATGCCATTCTGCACTGGGTGAGAAAACAGTGGGTGTCAGCAGGCTGAGAGGGGTGATCCTTCCCCTCCATACAGCCCTGGTGAGGCCACACAAGGAATCTTCCAGATCTGGGCTCCTCAATACCAAAAAAGACATGGACATACTGGACTAAGTCCAGTGCAGAATCATGAAGGCTGGAATATCTGTCATATGAGGAGAGGCTGAAAAAGCTTGGATTGTTCAGCCTGGAGATGTGAAGGCTCAGAAGGAGCTTATCAATAAGTTTAAATAACTGTTAGGGGGAGTCAAAGAGGTGACTAAAGATGATCAACATCAGGAAAGACTCATCTGAGTAGTATACAGTAAAATGACAGGAGGCAATGTGCATAAATTGAAGCACAGAAAATTCCATTTAAACCAAATAAGAAAAATGGTTTTACTGTGAGATTGATCGAAAATTGGAACAGGTCACATTGAGAGGTTGTGAATTCTCTGTCTTGGAGACACTCAGAACCCAATGGGACATGGCCAGAGCAATGTACACTCTAGATCCAGCTTTGAGCAAAGGAGTTGGACTTGCAGATCAATGGAGGCACCTTCAAAATCAATAATTCTTTGATTTTTTGATACTGGGATCTTTTTAATGTGGAGAAGAAAATAAAAGAAGAAAATGGAGAAAACCAGCTTCTTTATATGTTTTTCAGGTGATGTTAACATCAAAAGGTTATCGGAGTTCATAAAATACTGACACTTAGATGTATAATAACTGTGCTTCTAATTAGAAACGTGATTTTTTAAAAAACAAGATAAGTGCTTATATTTTAAATATTTTAAAGGTACCTTTTAACTGGGAAGTTGTCACATATTTCTCTTATGTAGCTGGTTATTATATCAGAGCGTAGAATGGATTTTCTGGATTTATTAGATCATTAGCAGTTTGGGAATCAAGTTGAGGTGCTCCTGATTGTCTCCAAAATCCTCTGCAGTGGCTGAAAATGGAAAATCAGATCATTTTCCTCTATTCACTTAAAGGACCAACTTGAATGCAATGGGTGCAAAAACTTGTGATTGAAGGGACAATAAAGAATTCCTAATTTATAAAGCTGTGGAGAGGTTGTATAGAAGAGAACTGAAATAATGGTGTTTCTTGCCAGGTTT